GCTCAAGCTGCGTGTTTGTTGACATTTTGCTGTAGATTCTTCAAAGACATGGCTCCTGCAAAGGCAATGAAGGCTACCAAGGCCAAGAAGGTTGCTATGAAGGCCATGAAGGGTCAGAAGGCGATGTCCAAGGGAGGCCTTGCCACTGAGTTGGCCAATGCCACGGAGATGAAGAAGAGTCAGATCACCAGCATTTTGAATTCTTTGGCTGAGATTGGTGCAGGGGAGGTGAAGAAGACTGGCAAGTTCACTCTTCCAGGGCTCTGCATGATCAAGACTCGCCAGAAGAAGGCCACCAAGGCAGGCAAGAAGATGATGTTCGGCCAGGAAGTGATGGTGAAGGCACAGCCAGCGAAGACTGTGGTGAAGGCATTTCCGGTGGCAGCTTTGAAAAGCCAGATCTGAAGCCATGGTTCTTTAGGCCATGGAGCTGTAGCCGAAAACGGCTAGTGGCACCTTGGGGGATTGGAGCTGAACTAGTTGTTGGAGGCACAGCCTGTTGTACACTATCGTTGGATGGGCTTGTCAGCCAGTTGAGTCCAAAAAGCAGCGCCGGTTAAAGACACGCAGATCGGCGTGTGGAATGAAAGCGAATTAATTTGCTTCGGTGTTCTTCCGCTGAGGCTGAGAAGGGTGCGACACGACAGCGGCGGGCACAGTACAACCGCGCTATTCTACCAGAGGCTGGGCGGAGCTGCGTTGAGCTGGTTTAGAATTAAAACTAACCTAAATAATTTCTAATAGCTTCTTGCTACTAGTAGTAAGGCCAGGAGCCCCTAGTAGCGTCCTTGCTCCTAGTAGCGATGCCCTTTGTTCCTAGTAACTAGCTTCTTGCTCCTAGTTCAAACTCCAGGGCACTCAAAATTTGGATTGCCACTCTCAGTAAGCTTCACATTTTCTCCACATGTTGGAGGGAACCGCTCGATGAAGCACTGTTAAGTCTCTTTTTTCTCAACCGAAGTGCAAACGAAGTGCAAACACTGCACTTTCTGCTCGGGCACCGCCAATGAGTCTTTTCCTCGGCTTCTTTGGTCTTGGCTCCCTGACGGACGGCGTCGCATCAGCACTGCGTTCGGGAAATTTGCGAAGAGAACAAACAATTCTTCGTTTTCACAGAAAATAGTAATTTGTAGAACAAGTTGTAGAAAACCATTTGCAGAAAAGTCATTCGCATCTTAGTGACTTAGTGCCAACATCTATCTCTAACTTCGACTGGCTCAGCGACCTACTTGCGCATGAAGTGGTAGCAAGAGAGTCTTTTGTGACGCCGCTTCATGGAGACCCTCAGCGAGTCCAGCACTGGTGAGGATGCCAAAGGTGTGAAGCGAGCATAAGCGAGCTATGGCTATGATTAAAAATTAGTGCCGGTGGCTAGCGGTGCTGGTGGAGTCTGCAGAGAAAGAACAGTGAGACAATGCAAAACACACCTGACCCGTTTGATCTCTTCAGTTGCTAAGGTGAACCCTTCTACCAAGCCAACAAAGAGGCACACAGGCTCACCATGCTGAAAGCACTTCCAGAAGCTACCATGAGTTTATGCTGTTAGATGGTGGTTCATGGGCTTGGGTCTGCATTTGCCCAGATCAACCGACTGAAACCGAACTTTTCTTTGGAACTTCTTGCACACGCACCGCAAACGCACACAGAGAGCACACGCACCGCATGGACTGGTGGCCTTGGTCGGGTGTTTTTTGGCTCCAGCGATTTCCCGCAGCGGTAAAAGTCCAACTGTGTTCCAGTGAGACAGGCGGGCACGGCTGGGCGCGGCGGGGTCATGCCCAAGAGCTAAGAGACCTTTCTTTTGAACATCTCTCTTTTGCCAATCTGTTGGAGAGGGGAGGCTGTGAAGAAGCGGGAGTAACTAGTAGCAATGGGATATAAGGGGTAGTCTAGCAGCCCAAGTAGCTAGCTTGGATGCACTCTCGCACTCTCTCAGGCTTGATCGCTGCTCGGCGAGAAAGTCTTTTTGTGAACCTCTTCTCATTATTCGACACCGAAGGGTTTTTCAGCAATGACACAGCCCGACGGATTAGCTGTACTGCCAGGTGTGGGTCATGTCTTGCTGCTGTGGAGAGCCAGAGAAGGACCCTGAGGCCAGGAAAGCAGGCTGAAGGGTTTGAGAACATGCCATCAGCCTTCCACGTAGCGGGCGTACGATTGCACCGCAAGTATAGCGCAAGCTGGGGTTTTGCCCGTCGAAGCGCCGCCGTCGAAGGAAGAGAACGTGACGCGAGCTGACGAGTCAATGGCTGAGATACATTCCAAGGAAAGCTACTAGTAGCAAAGGGCATCGCTACTAGGAGCAAGGACGCTACTAGTAGCTCCTGGGATTACTACTAGGAACAAGAAGCTACTATATAGTAGCAAGGATACATTCCAAGCAAGCGCAGCAAAGCGCACTGAAGTCTGCTATGCGTGTTGCTTGTTCAAAGCAGAGCAGTAGAACATCCTCATGCACTCCTTGCTTTGATTTGTGTCCTTCTCTTTATGTGACCTTTTGCCTCTTTCATAGTTCGATAGTCGTGCTTCTCCTCCTTATTACATGTCTATTTGTGGATTCTTCACAATGTGGTCAATCTGAAAATGCTTAGTTTCCAAAAACATATCGGAACCAAATCCTCAGTGCGAGCGTGAGCTGTCCTATCCCTTCCTCTATCCGACCCCCCGAACTTAAAAGCAAATAATATAGAAACAAATACAATAAAACATACATATATTATCATATATTGATATTAATAAACATCAAATTTCCAAGGCCGAAGCAGTTTGGTCCTGCTCCAAATCGGAGCTGCACCGATTGCTGGTGCTTGATTGTCCTGCTGGCCTCATGGGTGGCATGGTGCGTGGCCGGGAGACCTGAAGGTTTTCGTAGTAACAAGTGCATCGCTAGTAGTAACAAGTGCCTTACTAGTAGTAACAATAAGAATTTAATTAGAATTGTAATTAATAGCTTCTTGTTACTACTAGTAAGGCACTTGTAATTACTAGCAAAGGAATCTACGACCTTTTCGCGCGCGCGCGCGCGGGGGGGGGTAGGAAGCTAGTAGTAACAAGTGCATCGCTAGTAGTAACAAGAAGCTAGTAGAAACAATAAGCTAATAGCTTCTTGCTCCGTTCGTAGCGATGCCAGGAGCCCCTAGTAACTAGCGTCCTTGCTCCTAGTAGCAAGGCCAGGAGCCCCTAGTAGCTTCTTGTTACTAATGCATTTACTAATGCATTTTTGTTACATGTAAAAAAGTGTTCTGTTTAATTACTCTTTCAGGGTGCTTTAAGTCGGATGCTGTCCTAGTCTAGAGACTAGCTGCGCTGAGACAATCCGTTTTCTGGAAGATGTTTGCTCGTGATCAAAGATTCTCAACATCTAAGCATCGGAAATAGATGAGACGTAGAGAGGCAAACCCTCCAAGATCATTTGGCACACTGACGTTGAAACGCATTCTCTGATTCGTTTGTGCATAGGTCACGGTCATGGGCCTTACGGATGGAAACTTGCAAAGGCGAGAAAGTGGGCACTGAGTTACTAGGGGTCTATCAAGCCAGCCCGGCGCCACTGAGAAAGTGGGCACTGTATTGAGGCAAACACGGCACACTATATATTTATAATAGCGCATGGCCTCCACCCTACTAGCGATGGCCTCCAACCTACGTATATAAACATGTAAACAATATGTTGGGGCTCAGCCTGCTTGAGCATGTTCAAGTGCTAAGATGCACAAGAGTTTGGAAATGCTTGAAAACTGGACGCTGCTTTTTCCAACTTAGGTGACAGAGTTTGACAGAGCTAGTGTTCTTCTCCTATTTCAATGACTGGGAGAAAGGGCATCGCTACTAGGAGCAAGGACGCTACTAGGGGCTCCTGGCCTTACTACTAGGAGCAAGAACACTACTAGTAACAAGAAGCTACTGAACACCTTTTTTTTTGTGAGGCTCTATCAGCCCCGTGACTACATGGGTGCCTACTGCAATCTCAACGCCCGGTGCCTTGGGGTACCGGACTTTGAGACCGGGCAGCCACAGGCCACCGGCCGTCGAAAAGGACTCCGCTCGAAATTGGTCAAATCAGCACCGTTATGACTTCAAGCTTCTTGTTACGACTAGTAAGGCACTTGTTCCTAGAAGCGATGCACTTGTTCCTAGTAGCTTCTTGTTTCTACTAGCGACATATTAATATCTGAGTTCATTGTCAAAGACATCCAGATCTGGGCTGAAACAAATTGAACGGTTATGTTCCTTGTAGCAGAACCTCCAACACGGAGCAAACACGGAGCACATCTTTGGGCGTACTCCCACATTCTCTATCATGATCCGGAAGGATGGGATGAGGTGATTACGGTGGTAAACATTCAAAACCTGTAAACATTGCGCTACTAGTAGCAAGAAGCTACTAATAGCAAAGGGCATCGCTACTAGTAACAAAGGGTACACCATAAACCTCTCGGATGAGGTGATTTTGGTGTTTTCGAGTAGAAGAGATGGCCGATGCCAAGGACAATTGGAATGGAGGCCTCAACTTGGAAGGCACGTTGTCAAGCAGGGGAGGCAACCAACATCCTACTTTTGGTGTGTGGTGTGTGCCATCTTTAGATTGGAGGCCATCGCTATGAGGTTGGAGCTAGTAAGAAGCGGTCGTGAGGATGCAGAAGACCTGAGAAACGGCAACAAGATCATGACAGAGTACATAATTGGACTGCTTCATACGGACCATACTAGTGGACTGACTGACGTCAGTGCCGAGGTTGCGCCACTGACTGACGATTGGTGAATTGGGGTCTGACAAAGCCACCCCGGAGGTTACGTGAAGCAAAGCTACACCATGAACGTGAGCGCCGTGACTGACGTCATTGTCAAGCAGCTGCTGGGACTTGCAATGGAGTTTGTGCGTCCCTGCTCCTAGTAGTATGGCCAGGAGCCCCTAGTAGCGTTCTTGCTCCGAGTAGCGATGCCAGAAAGGAACATGTCTCCAAGACTGCCTGGTCATACAGAAGGTTTTGGGCCTTGAACATCCAGTTAAAAGCACGTCAACTCCTTGGAGGCTACTAGAGGCTCCGCAATCCAAATTGAAAGCGATCTCAGTTTTCCGAGCAAGGATGATGTGCTCTACCGCCGCAAGCGAAGTGCTCACTCAGACGATAGGCACAAGTCAAAGATGACGTCATTCGTCCATTTTTGGCACCTATTTCACCCCAAAAGCGTCGCTTATGAAAAGTGAAGCTACTAGAGAGGCTGTACTTCTAGGAGCAAGGATGCTACTAGGGGCTCCTGGCATCGCTACTAGTAGCATTCTTACTACGAACGTAACAAGAATCTACTAGTTCGCGGGTGACTCAAAGACAGGTGTCGCGTGACACCTTCGTGCATCGCGTGTGACTAACGGTCCGCACCCCCGACCATCCAGCATCCCGCGACTCGGGTTTTTAGCAGTTTCTTTTTTCGCCCGAGTGGCCCTGCCTCCTTAATTATGGGAGAAGTAAGCAAATAGCAATTGAAAGCTCCTAGCTAGGACGCAGAATAGCTCACGCTCAGCGCAGAAGCGCTCGCACTAATGATTTGTTTAAATCACGTCTCCAAGAGCTTCGTCAAAAGGAATGGACAAAACTTTCACGTGAAAACGTCATTTTGTGAGGCTAAGTGAAGAGATTTCTTTTGATGAATTGATGGTGCATTTGTGTATTAATGACCTTACGCTCTGCACATGTAAGATCGCGATAGGTTTCAACTACTTTGCATCACACATATGTTTCGCGTCATGGAAGAACAGGGCGATTGTGCGCTCTATCAGTTCTGTCTCGTGGGAGCTCTTGCAAGAGATGCAAACCGTCAGGCATGTATATAGATTCCATGATAATCAACTGCTGGAACTGTTTGCTTGCTTGCTGTTTCAAAAGTCACTTAGCCTTTGCTTGCAGGTGGTAACCCTCCTCTTTTGCCGACCATTTCAGAGCAGCAGGAGCTTGCAGAGAGGTTTGATAGTGTTCTTACGAAGAAACTCATATTTCCTCTAAAAGGAACAAGAGACAGCCATAGTAAATGCAATGGTTTCATATTTGGGTATGTACTGTACTTATTTATTTTTTAAAACTTTCAAGTGATTTTTCAAGTGATTTTTTAAAATATTTAGTAAAGAGTGTCCTCCGCCTCAGATGCAACACACCGAGATGAACGGCCTTCGAACGAAGAGAGCCATCGAGCTGAACTCCCAACTAGGAAAAAACGAAACCGCTTCAGGATTTTTCTGTTTTATTTGGTTCTACTAGCAATGGCCTCCAACCGAATTCCTGTTTTTTTTGATATTTGTCTTTATGGATAGAGTGTTTATTTGAGGGTAACAAGCTGGTTGGCATTTAGAGTTCCAACAGTGGACGGTGAGGATTACCTTTGTGCCTGCTGCCGTATCCCTTGTCAAAAGTGTGAAGGCGGAGCTCCTGCGTCTTAAGGACTTGGAAGTCATTGGATGATTTGAGAAGACTTTTAAATGTCGGCTTACACTGTTGAAA